GGGCGGGCCGGGTGGGCTCCGGGGCGGCGGTGCAGCGCGGACCCGAGAAGCCCCACAGCCCCTCTCGGTTGCCGGGCGCTTGAGGGGCCCCCGTCCCTCCGGCCACGGGAGGGTTCACACTTGATGCACGAGGTGAGGGCCCTGCCTGCGCCCCTACACACGTCAGGGAAGCCCCCGCTCTCTGGCTCCCTGTCCTGGCTCCTGCCTCGCCGTGCGCCCCGACTCAGTGCCGCGCTCCAACAGAGCCGCACGCGTGGCCTTCTCGGGCCGTGCTCAGGCTGTGTCCCTGCTGGGGAGCTTCTCCCGTGTCCAGGTCGCGAGCGGAGCCCCTCGGTGCACCGGAGGGCACAGGGTGCAAGGCAGGAACCCCACTTCCAGGGCTTTGGGCATTATCCCGAGAAGAACCACCGCGTTCAGATGCTTTCTGCCGCTGGCACCCGAAGGGATTTGGGGGCCTCAGGGACAGGTCGGTGGACGGAGCCTCTGGGCTTGCAGGCCACCCTAGCTCTGCATCTCGGGGTGTGCCAGGTGGTTCATCAGAGCGAAGAGAAAGGCGGTGACCCAGGGACGCTGGAGCGGCCCCCCACCTGCCTCGCTGCCAGGAGACCCCGGCAAAGCCGACAGCTGCCAGGCAGGACGCGACGGGGTGAAGCGCTGCGCACGCTCCTGGGAAGGGACGGCGCGGCGGGCTGCGGACGACTCTTCAAATCCTTGGTCTCATGAGACTGCAGAGACACCAGTCATTTTCAGCCAGCCGAGGCCCGCAGCCCCACTCCAGGGGACTCAGCGCGAAGCCTGCTTGTGGCGGTCAGGCTGGACCCCGAGAGCCGAGCCCACCGGGAAGGCAAGCCCGGAGCAAGCACATAGCTGTGCCAGGCCGGCGCGGAGGCCGTGGGCGCCAAGGCTGCTGTGCGGACTTGTCGGTGCGGACGGGGACAGCCCGCTGGGGAGGGCAGGATTTCTCGGGGCTGGGCGTCTGGGGACGGGGCGCAGGACGGCACGGCATGCGGCCATCCACAGCGCGGCGCTCTGGAGCCCGGGGCCACGCCGATGGGCACACGTCCGCGGG